TGTTGTAAGAAGTAATAAAATTTTCATAGCATTCACAAGAAAGTAGCAAAAGATAAGTTGAATTCATTCTATAACCTATATCCTTGACAAAGGTTTTAACGTCTGGTTCATTTTCAATGAATTTTAACATATCTCGTTTACTGCTTTAATCTTCATCATTTATTTTCACCGTTAGGGAAGTAATACTTCCTCATTTATTACTTTCAATTTTTTTTATGTAACCACGATATTTTTTGGCCACAAGTTAGGGCAGATTAATAAAATCTCGGATGTACCGTCCTCCTTTAACAAAAAAAAAAGTCAGATGTAAATAATAAAACACCGATATATATATTTAAATAATTTATTATTCAATTATTTTTTATGGTACACAGCAATAGAATTCAAATGAAAAGCATTTATAAAATAGCGTTCGAACCTAGGTCGGAAATATTGCCTTTTGAACTTAATGACATGTTTGCTTTCCACTATACAAGCTGATATTCACCACTAGCTACGAATTATTGCTATGTGTACACCTTGTGGTGTACGCAATCTTTTACGCTCCTCTCACATGAAGGGGGTTCACACACAATAAAATATTTGTGGGCCTCCCTTCATGTGAGGGGGATGTAAAAGATTGTGTACACCACAAGGTGTACACATAGAATAATCCATTGTGAATACACCCAATTGGTAAGTACCAAAATAGAACTTGCACCACTGGGTGAATCAAATTGGAGTTGAGATTGATTAGGATCCAAAATTTTGTGTTTGATCGAACATTTTTTGTAGTACCCGTTTAGGTGGGTCGTTTCAACGCTCTTTTGTCTAGCTAATCTTTCTTTACAATATTCATATTTTGCATTGTAATTTGGCTTTTCGTTTACTACTCATGTCAGTTTGAAATATTCGAAACACTTCACAATTTAGTTTTTGTTCTTACTGCTTAAAACTATTATACGCATTTCTTCTTCTTCAATATAATCTAAATCAATTAGATTAGTGCGCTCATGCTCATGTTCATGTTCATCACCCAAATTATCGAAAATTGAAATGTCATTAAGATCTCTAAAATCGTGATTTAATTGAGGAGTGAGAGCTGGAGTCGGAGCTGGAGCACTTTTTGGTGTGTTGGAGGCATCATACATTTCGTCGAAATAATTAGTTTGCAACAATTTATTGTAATCCATTTGGAATTGGAATAATATATGAAAGAAACTAATAAGTAATTGTATTGTAGAAATTAGAATACTAATTGGTAGGATGAAGCTTATATTGTAAGCACTAATTGTATTGTAGATATTAGAATACTAAATGGTAAGATGAAGATTGGGCAGGTAAGAACTAATTGTATTGTAGATATTACTTATTAGAATACTAGAATTGAATTAGAAATATAGAATGTAGAGAGAATTGTGATGTGGAAAAAATGAAGTTGGGAGTGGGTATTTACAAAATAAAAATCTTTCTTTTAAAATTGTTGCAAAAATCTGACCATTGACCAATGATAAAAAATTTCAAACATTATAATCATTGATGGCCCCAAAGGTCACAATTTGGCCCACGAGCCGAGCCCTACTCAGCTCGTCAATTATTTTAGAGCTCAACGATAAAATCTATTTTTCAATGGACCATTATGCCCCCGTTTGGTACACATTTTGAGTTAAAGAATGCATTTTTCTGTTTGATGTAATGAAGAATATGTGGTTGAAAAAGAAGAAAAAGTTATCGATGTGATGGAAAATATTATTTTATTGAAAAATGTATAATTGAAAATGAGTAGAAGAATGATAATAATAAAAAAAAAATAATGTGATTCAAATAGGAACATATTGAGAAAATTAAAACTACGATAGATGAATATATTTGTATGGAGACGATATTGCTTCGGACTATAAGACAACATGGAATATAATTTACCATAAATCTTTTTTTACGAGTTTTTGAATGATGTTGTTTCAAAGACATTCGTGCACAAGATATTAATGCCTCGATATAATGACTTTCATCAA